GATAGAAAGAACTTTATAGATGCTGTATTCTGTCTACTTGGATTGACAAATGCTACGGCTTTTTATTGAAATACATTGAGATATTGGGGGGACTTGATAATCCTTCCCCTCTCAGGTAGGGCCCTGCGGCACTCGCAGGCACCAGTTTGCCTTGGGGTGCCTGAGAGCGCGCTTTCCAGTCAGCGTTCACTACTTGAAACATTAAAAGGAGAAAAGTTCCCAGTGAAGCTACTTTAGCGCAGGATTTAGGAAGTCTCCGCTTCCTTCTCCTGCATGCAGAGTACACTGGAGCGAGTGCAATGACCTGTGCAGATGGAGAAGGGCTTTAGATTAGGCTGAGAGACCTGCAGAAATAATTTTAAAGAATCGCTTTTTTGTTGAAGGGTTTAACCCCAACCGGCAACTGAGCCCCACGCGGCTGCTTGCTCACTACCCCCCAGTGGGATGAGGGAGAGATTTGGAAGGGTAAAAATGAGAAAACCCACATGTTGAGATCAAGGCAGTTTAATGGGTGATGCAAAAGCCCCGCGTGCAAGCAAAGCAAAGCAAAGCAAGGAATTCATTCCCTCCCTCCCAGGGCAGGCGGGTGCTCAGCCGTCCCCAGGACAGCCGGGCTCCATCACGCCTAACGGTGACTTGGGAAGGCAAACGCCATCGCCCCGAATGTCCCCCCCTTCCTCCTCCTTCCCCCAGCTCTCTACCCTGAGCACGACGTGGAATTTGGTGTGGAATGTCCCTGGGGTCAGTGGGGGTCAGCCGCCCCGGCCGTGTCCCCTCCCAGCTCCTTGTGCCCCCCAGCCCCTCGCTGGTGGGGTGGGGTGAGAGGCAGAAACGGCCTTGGCTCTGTGCGAGCCCCGCTCAGCGGGAACGAACCCATCCCGGGGTTATCAACCCAGTTTCCAGCACAGACCCAAACCGTGGCCCCGTGCCAGCTACTGTGGAGAAAGTGGACTCTACCCCTGCCCAAAGGGTTTGTCCAATGTTGAGTGCTTGTGTCCATCTGATGCGGGTTTTCCATTTTTAATGACTGTTTGAACTCTAGGGCACTGCGTTCAAAGGTTAGCAAGTAATTTTTAGTGTATGGTGTCCTTTCTTGTACCTATTTTTTGCCAGTTTTTGTGGAGCAAAATTGGTTTTTCTTTTCATGCTTTGTACTTTGTACAACAACTATATTGACCCTACCACACCAAGCAGTCTAAGTATGTAGGAGTTCATTTGATTAGTTGCTGGCTGAAGAATAAGGTATTAAATCTGTTTAAGTTTGTATTGATATACTGTGAAAATTTGGTATTCTTAAGTAAACGTGACTTTGGCCATAATTCTGCAGATGTAAAATAAATGCATAGATAGTTCTGGATGTGTAATTGAAAATGTATGTTGGTAGACGTCATCTTCTGATAAAGTGCTATTACATCGTACATCTGCAGTAGTGATGAACTTTGAAGAATGCTTTAAGAGTTTGTAAAAGCAGAATAGGAAATAGACAAATTAGCTACGATAGGGCGAGGACTGTTCCATTATATTTGCAGAACCCTTAACCTGACTGCGAACGCAAAGTCTGTGGCAGTAATTAGTAGTAATAATGGTACCATTTTTTTCCTAGGTCGCTAGCAAGCGTAGGAAAAGAACTGAAAGATAATTTCTTGCGGGCCCTGGCGGAAAGAGAGGAAGCCAATCGTACTGGAAAAATTTCTGTGAGTACCTGTGAGATCACATTCTTCTTTACAGCTTAAAAAATGAATCTGAATGGGAAACAGAGGTATTTCGCGAGGAATGTTTGAAAAACATTACTTGATTTAGAAGAGATTTCTTGAAACCTGGAAATTTGCTGACGTTAATTTTTTTTAACTAAGCGAAGCATATGACAACTCTGCCCAGAAGTCTGCAAAAGGTAAGTGATGAGCTGAAGGACACAAGAGAAAAACCATTTAGTGGAGTGTGTTTTGATTTCATAAGAAGTTGTAGATTCCTGCCTTGCAAAATTCATTCCCATGTGCGCTTTAAATAGAGGAAGATGCAGCCTGATTGTTGGGAGAATCTCTTTGAAACTCATTAAGGTGGGTGCTGTTGGAGCTTCCCTGCTGAGTTTTGGTGGGGTGTTGGGTCT